CAAGTGAGAGATTCCAGTTTCAAGGGTTTAGAAGAGACCTAATAGCAACTTGTGAGAACCTCATAGCACAGAATCTTCAAAGCCCTTAATCCATGTGGGCTATGATGAGAAATTTGGGAAAGTCAGGTGAGATGGTGATCTAGTAAGAGTCAGCCCAATGTGTGTCCAAACTATAGAGATTGCTCAGTATCAGCGACAGTGGCAGCACTGTGCAAGTGTCTTTCTAAATGTGATGCTTATCTTCAACCTTAGACTTTCCCTGATATCGAACAAAGGTCCATGTAAACCAGTGATGTTCAAAATATTGAATCCAATTTGCTTTATTTTTGTGAGAAGTAGCATTGCTAACTCCAGAGGAGCAGGTACACATGACAATTCAGTTGGTTCTCTAATCCTCCAGCATGACCAAGTATAACAACAAGTACACCAAAAGACAAAGGAACTTGTAACCTCTTTGAGAGAAAATTGACTTCATGATGCCATGCTTGCCAATTAAAACAAACTAGATACTGTATAAGAGGCTCTGCAATCTAAAATTGGAGAATCTGGGTCTGTGACATTCCACAGCCCGGTTGATAGCTACAGGCAAGTTCTGTGTATAGATAGGACCCAAGACCTCTCACTACACATTAGCATCCCTTGCATTTATTTCCTGCTAAGCTTGAAGAGAATGACTAGTGCGATCCTAACTCAGCAGTGTCCAAGATTTTCGAAGCGCCAAATGATTTCCTCGGGTGCTGCATGTGGCAGATGTAAAAATATGAATCAATATTCATGTTAATTTCTTGTTATTTCACTTCACAAAGCATTGGAGAAGATCAGAACTCTTTTCTGCATGCGTCAATTGATGCTCGATCAATTGTAAAGTTCAAAGCCGATTCGATAGATTTTTGTCATCAGCAATATGGGACAAAGCCAAGTAAACACAATTAATTCAGATAGGTCATGATCTCGCTGGATAGTGCAACAGACTTGAAGACATACACCTGTTCCCTGTGATTTCCAAATGATTTTATATGGTTTCCAAAACTCGACTCTCACAGAATTCAAACAGTATAATTCAGCAAATAAGATGCTTAAGCAGTTATTCCGTGTTGTTCAGGCTTTGCAATCCAAATTAACATGGTCTATAATTTCTATTAACCAAATCCTAAATAAACAAGCCACAAGCAGTTTATCAATACCCCCCACTGGTAAATTGTATAGTTTTGAGTAGCTGAAATCCACCAGTTGATCCATCAGGACACAAACTAGTTGCTAACCTGCTTGAAAGATTTTGTGTTTATGTCAATTTATACACACATACATATTTAAATCAACCTGTTCAGAGATGTTAGAAAACACATCTGGAGCAGGTGGGACTTGAGCCAGCCTCCTAGCTCAGAAGTAGGAACGCTACAAGTGTGCCACAAGAGCCCCTTTATGTCAATTTATATGCTTTGCTATATACAAATGTGTAATTATAATATTCTTCCTTGGGTGTGTGCACTTGCTTAGAAACAGTTCCAGGCCTATGTTGATGCATTCTCTGATACATGAGAAAATGTATTTTTTTAAACAAACACCTGGATTACTTCCAATGTGCTGACTGAGGAAAAACAGCACTTGAGGACCAGGATCTCAAATTCAAAGCTAAGGTCATAGTTTAGAGGACAGCTTGCTCCTAACTACTTCAGAGATTTGAACAATCTATGGCAAGCTCTTTAATACACTGGAGAAATACCACCAGTGGTATCTTGGTAAAATCCTCCAGATCCAATGGCAAGAAAGGCAAACCGACAGCAACAGCTTCTCTCAAGCCAACATGTCCACCAGTGAGGCAATAATTACTCAAGACCAACTCTACTAGGCAACACATGTCATTCACACGCCTGACACCAGACTCCCAAGGCAACTATTCTACTCAGAACCACTTATCGAAGAAGCTTCAGATCAAGAAATTGCAGAATAATACCAGAGATATGGGGGAATAGGTTAAATTACGACAACAGGAAATATATCATGGCTTTTATACCCTCGATCACAGAAGACATGACTCGATTGAAATATTTAAAATACTAGAAGGGTTCAATAGGGTAGATAGAGATTGGTTCTTTCCAGTAGCAGGGGAAGTTGAGAATGAGTATAAATAAATCAAATCAACAAACTTGCTGTATCTTTTCATCTAACCTTAAAACAAACCTGCTGAGCTGGATTTTCAACAACCAGCGAGGTCTGCTGCAGACATGCATTGAAAATTATCATTTTGAATGGTGTTAGTGGATTCTGATGCCCCTTAAATGCAACAAAGTTTTTCTAATGGAAGGTGGGAAGATGAGCTGCAAAGTTGCACATCTCTAATTAGTTGATTACTGAGCTCATTATAGAGTCCAATAAGAGGTTTTGAAGCAGTAGCTTTAAATTTTCAATCAGGAGGGAAGAGATAAGCAGAATGTCTGGTGACAAGCTTGGGTGCAGCTATTTGAGCGCAGGGGAATGTCAAGAGTACTGATGGTTGCAATAGTCTACACTTTTAAACAACGGCTATGTCTACTGAGCTGCTCAACCACTGACACTAATGGTCACCATCACTGCAACTGAGAGACTTGAATTTGGTAAGTGTCCTGAGAGACATGTGAGGCTACTGGTGTCACTTGGCCAGCTGGTGTTGGTAGAGGATACCTTAGCGAAGCAAAGGGATGCAGCTCATGGATTTGAAATTGGGCCGAGTAGCAGAACAAAGCAAAGCAGAGCTTCAACAGATGCACTCCTTTGACCAAAAGGCAATCAGACAAAGTGTTTCAAGGAGAAGAATGCGCCATCTACAACATTGCACCAAAGGGTCAACTGCCTGCTGACAACAGAGTGAAAGTGCCAAAGGAAGCAGTGGCTCTCCAGCCAGTTGCAACTTTTGTAGGTATCAATCTAGTGTGGCATTCCCTAACATTTCAGGGCATGCTTCATAGACAGCGAGTGCCTGCATCCTCCATTCATGGAGGTTGGCATCAACAAAGCAACAGCCTCACCACATTCTCTTGGCACGTCATATAACTATAATACAGTTCATCATTTCAATATTGCAATTCGGTTCTCATTGACACCTTACATTATAACGCTGCTGACAGGGCATAGGGATAGGCATCTATATCATGGATTGGAACAGTACTATCTCAGTTTGCTTTCTTCATGCTCACTCACTTTGTGCTTACTTGAATACTTACCATATCTCTGTGTTGTCTTGCCTTTTATCCCAGCCAGAGAACCATGCAACTTGTCATGTTTGCTAACAATGAACAGTCAAGAAGATGAGATGTTGCTGTACAACACTATGCTACGTCAACGGCACATCTCCAGCATGTGTCAGTATCTTACATGGAAAACACGTGGAATGTGATACAATCAGTCAGGATCTGGTCTATCCTCAGTTAAAGAAGGTAGTGAGGTGACTCAAATGAGTGAATAGGAAAAGCAGAGGGCAAGAATGGTTAGTAATTTGGGGAATGGAATTCCAGACAGCCACTGAGGAGAGATGCTGAATGCAGTATTGAGATTGGTAGGCCAGGGGCCTTGGTGGGACATGGGTGCACTAACAGAGTTAAAATAAATATGAGGTAGCAGGGAGAAGATAATGGCACTTATTCTTGCGGAGCACAGAAGATTCTTAACCTGCTTGCAGCACTGCTGCATGTTCCTCCAGATCATGGACACTGCACTAAGCTGTGTTGTTACTTCAGAGCAGCCTGGCACAGTTTGATTTAATGTGCAGCTACGGTTTAAATATGGCACTAGCAGCATGAACGCTTTAGGGCACTGCACATTTTTCCACAAGAGTGATGCTGTGGAATACTTACTTAATGACAAAAGCAATGTAGAATTGTGTGAGAAAAGTTACCAAAGTTTATGAAGAGAAACCCTCCATGAAACTCCCTGAAATTGACACTTAGTCTTCTTGGGAAAATTCAACCCCATGTTTTTATTAACACAAAATACAGTGCATTCACTCTCTCTTACCCTAAATTAAACTAGCCATCCGAACATTCAATTCCTTGAGTATTATGTGTGAAGAGTCCTCAGTTTTGCATGGCTGCAATCTTTCCAGCACCAACCCTAAACATAGGGATGGATCTTCCCATATTTTGGCTCAGTAACATTTTCACTGAGTCCACTGAAGGGTTTCTCTCACAAGGCCTAGTTAGTTTTCTTACACGATCATCACAAACCCACTTCATTAACTACCTACCATTCCCCTATGACACTTTCTCATTGAAACTGGAACTGGAAGTACTTGCAAATTCCCTGTCACCAGTTCCATCTTTGACTTCCAGATGTACACCATCAAGTGTTGAGTATCAAGAGTTATTCTTCACCATTAATTTAGTCAGAGAGCAGCCACAGGCCAACACCTCTCATGGCACAGCTGACACTTCCTTGTACATTCAACTTCACATCCCTCCACTCTCAGCACTGTAAGCACCAGGCCATACATTTGGCCTCTTAAATGCAGCAGGAACACATGAGAGTTCTCAAGGATATAGGCATCATGGCAACTCCCAGGATACTGCACACAAACCTCTAAGAAGTGTAATTGATGATCACAGATCAATTATGCATTGATTAGAACGGTTTTATCTTGATTAACTCAGCTCCGTTACGATATGACCCTGTCAATGCAATGTGTGTACAGTTTATTGTGCCCTGCACCTGACGGAAGCCATCCATATTGGCAAAGCCTGCTGCCTTGCTGCAGCAGTGACCTCATCACAGATGAAGTAGTGAGATCTGGCACAAATTGCATTGATAACAACATTAATACATTTTTGAATGGACAGTTGAGAGATCCCACACAAGTCCCCAGTGGCTTCTTGGAAGAAGTTAGTTGCAGACAAGTTCAATGCAAATGTTATCTTGATGGTCTCCAGGATAGGATGGCCACCCACCCCTTCATGTCACAGGTCTTGCTCCAGCAGGTGGCATAGTTATGTGACAGTGTCCCAGGAAATCCTCAGTCTGTGCTGATAGTGTGCATCTGTCATCCAGAGGAAATGGTGAGGACTATAGTCTCTGGCTTTCCTGTATTGCCTGCTTATCCTGATGGGCCTTTCAGATGCATGTATTCATGTGCAGGCTATTTGGCGTTCGCTGTAGGTGGTTGTTGGCCTTGGGCTTGCTGATGCCTCTGTTCCTCTTTTATTTCTCAGAGATTTTGCTACACTCTAACGTTAGCCTTGCTATGACTGGCTCCATCAGTCACATCTGCGATGAACCTGAGTAGAGGGCATAAGGAGTTAATAAGGTCCTTAGCAATGTGACCAGTCAGTATCACTCACAAATGACAGCTTAACATACTGCTCCTTAAGTGGGACATGAAGCACTCTAACAATGGAATAACTCAATATTGAACAGTTGAGATGGCTGAAGGGTATTATCACTAGACTATCACTCCAGACACCCAATGATCTGGGGATGTGAGGTGAAATTGTGCCATAGCAGATAGAGAATTTGAATCTTTTCTTGCTAAATAAGATAAGAACCAATGTTGTTAGGGGCAAGATACTGGCATTGATAGAGGATTTGTTGACTGGCAGAAAGCACAGAGTGAGAATAAAGCGGTGTTTTTCAGGATGGTAGCTGGTGACTATTGGAGTTCCACAGGGTTCAGTATTGGGACCACAACTATTCACATCATACATTGACGATCTGGATGAATGAGCTGAGGTCATTGTTGCTAAGTTTGCAGATGACACAAATATAAGTGAAGGGTCCGGTGGTGTTGAGGAGGTGGGTAGGCTGCAGAAGGACTTGGACATGCTAGAAGAAGGGGCAAAGAAGTGGCAGATGGAATACAATGTATGATGTATGATGTCATGCACTTTTGTAGAAAGAATAAGAGGCACAGATTATTTCCAAGATGGGAAAAGGCTTTGGAAATCTGAAGCAAGAAGGGACTTGGGAGTCTTAGTTCAGGATTCTGTTAGTGTTAACATGCAGGTTCAGTTGGCAGTTAAAAAGGCAAATGCAATGTTAGCATTGATTTTGAGAGGGCAGGAATATAGGAGTGGAAATGTATTCTTTGCTGGGCTTTATCAGACTGCATTTGGAATATTGTGGATAGTTTTAGACTTTGCATCTAGAGAGAGATGTATTGGCCTTGAAGAGGATCCAGAGGAGATTCACAAGAATGATCCCGAGAATGAGGTCTTGTCAAATGAGGAGCAGTTAAGAACTCTGGGTCTGTACTCTATGTAGTTTAGAAGGATGAGGGGGGAATCTGATTAAAAATTACAGAATACTGAGAGTATTGGGAGTGGACATGGAAAAGTTGTTTCCTCTAGTAGGAGAGATTAGGACCTGAGGGTACAGCCTCAGAGTGAAGAGAATGACCTGTTAGAACTGAGACAAAGAAGAATTTCTTCATCCAGAGGATGGAGACTCTGTGGAACTCACTGCCACAGAGGCTATGGAGGCCAAGTCATTGAGTGTATTAAGACAGAGAGATAAATTCTTGATTAGTAAGGGGATTAAAAATTGTGGGATAAGGCAGGAGAATGGGATTGACAAACATATAAGCCATGAGCGAATGACACAGCAGGCTCGATGAGTTGAATGGCCTAGTTCTGCTCCTATATCATATGGTCTTATGTACTTTGACTTTGGTTCTTATTCCGATAAAAACACCACCAGTCATGTCACAATGAGACAGTAGGTCATTGCAAATGCTGCATGAATACTGAATCTTTCCACTCCCAGCCCCACATCAACTATGAAAGACATCTTCACACATAAAAGTATCTTACATTACATGTACAGATCAAGTTGAGAGGGAATCAGTTCCATGCCTCTGTGCAGCCTATGAGGATTTTCATTAGCTTTGTGTTTTGTAGCCATCAGGTGTCTCTTTTAAGGTTGCCTGGGATTAGTTCTGCTTCACAGAGATCTTTATCTTCAATCTGCATGAACAAATAACATTGTCAAGATTGCTAGTGATCAGCTTTTGCAATCGCCATATTGTACACTGCATCTCATATCATCACATGATATGATTGCAAATGACTTCAATCTGCACTCTGCAACTACATAATTGATGCAATTGCCCCTTGAAGGACCTCTCATCATTCACAAGTGAAGCCCGTGCTATGGCCCAAAGAACAGCATGGATCATATCTACTCTGGGAATATTTGCAGCTATTTTCCATTGGTAGAGTGCCCTCAGAAGTGGAGATATCATGGAAGACAATGCAGGGCACGCTCGGCACTGTGTCCTAGGCTTGGCCTGGTCATTAAGCAATTCCCCTGTTCCTCCATGTCCCTTTCTACCTGGCTGTCTCTAGACAGCCCATCCCAACTCATCCCTCACACATTCCCACCCATCACCTAGAGGTACAACTGCAATTCTCATCCTCATCCTTGAGCCCATCCCTGCAATTGGGTCCTGCCCACCGTTGTGATGTACACTGCCCGTGTCAAAGTCACAATGGTTAATCATAGCCTATAACACCCCTCCCTCAGTATCCCATGTCCTTCCATGCACTATCAGGTCCTCCTCTTAGGTGTTGAATTTTCCTTCATCAGCATCCTAGTCTTTTCAATGTCTCAGATTGTTGTCTCCAATCCCACGCACTGATTGCACCCACGCCCTACCACACAGTGTTCCCTGATACCAATCCCCTCCTTGATGTTTATTGAACAAACTCCCAGCTGACTATGGACCACCACCTTGATTGATTTGGATGCACAGCCTGATTAATGACTGACCATACCATTTAATGTCCCTGTGCAGATCCCAAACTGATGAAATACGCACCCCCTGACTGCTTGTACTTGTTCTCCAGGTTTGACTATGACCAATTCCCTGAACTGTTGTGAGACGGAGCCATTAACCCTGGTGGCCCACGTGAATGATTGATCATGGACAAGCCGCTGGGCGGTCAGTGAATACTGCCCTTGACTGACTGTACCAGAATCCCCTGATTGACAGTAGCCCCCTTGATTTAATCACTTCCCTTCACGTTTCAGAAGTGGCCATTTGGGTTAATACACATGCTGTGTGTTTGTCACGTAAGCTGTTGGCCATAATGTAGCAAGGTACCATACAGCAACATGTTCAGACTCCATAAGTGATGAGTCCTGAGAACCACAACAGGTTGCCTGGATTTGTGTCTGCACTAAACAGCAAGACAAGACAGAAATATTGTGAGCCTGTAAAGTCTGGCTGAGGGAGCAAAGCACAAAAAGGCAGTGAGTCAGGAATGCTGCAGGCATTCAGGTTGGCACAGAGTGAGTGTGTGCAGAACAGAGTGAGCAGCCCTGAGATGCCCCCGGTCCAGTCCGTGAACTGGGTGCCTGTCCAACATGGCACAATGTCCTTGCTGCAGCACTGGCATAAGAAGTGCCAGTGTGCTCCTAAGTGCAATATTAAATTGCAGAAGGTACAGTTAGTGGATACAGTAAGTATACAGTAAGCAGAGAGGCTGGCACATGTCAGATTCCAGCATCAGGAATATGATTTGCATGCAGCTGCTACACATGGAGGACGCCCCAAGGTGTTGCTGCCATTTGTCCAACATGGAGGACAGGTTTGCCAGGTACCGGTTCTGACTTTTATGCCGGGAATGCTCGGGATCTATCCAGGCTGGTGGAAGAATGGGAGCCTGCATATTAATGAGGCAAGATTAGGTTGTAATGTAGGAGATCATAAATGATAATCTCCGTTAATACTCCTCTTGCAGCTCACTACAGAATCTGACATGGACTTCCTAGACTCGGTTAGAATTGCTCTTTTCAGTCTGGATTTCAAGAAAGGCCTCCCTGCACATCTTCGAGTATTCTCCCAAATTTCTCACCATAGCTCACTTCCGGCAGAGCCCGAGAAGGTTCCGCCAGTAGCGTTTTAGATGCTGTCCCCTGCGATTAAATAGCATGACTGCTTCAAGATGGGCAACTGTTAGATCAAGTTCTGGTCGGTATACCGTTAAAATCGGAAAACGTGCTGGTCTTGATTTGCCTTCATTGCACAAGCCACCTATTGATTCCAGAGATCTGAAGACTGGGTTTTTTATTAAAGTCCAAACTGCGCGGCTCAAACCACATTTCATTCGATTTATGAGGAATGTTGAGCACAAGATCGAATGCATTATACGGTTGCTCGAAGCCATCGACTTTTTAGCATCACTTATTTCTATAACTTGAAGCTGGGAATTTATGTCAGACGTACGAGCCTATTACTATTTCTGGCGACGTTATAAACAACTCCAGTCTAACATGAAAATAGAACACAATTCCAGTTGATTGCATTTTAAATCTGCAAGTCGCCAGAAGAATGCAGACTCTTGTTGACTGCGGGATGAATTCCAATAGGTTTGTGTGTCACTTTCTCAGTTGTGCTCTGTTAAATTTCGAGGAGTCTCCTGATGTGAAGTTTTAGCAGTAGGGTACGGTAATTTTTCAAAGCCTACTAATGCACTTTTAAATTCCAAAAACGCAGGATGGGCTTTACCTTCACTCGTTCTTTTGGAGGTGGGAAGCTTCGGCTGAAATCTCTGTGGCACCTTAATCAAAAAGCGCCTGTTCGATTATCAGTATTTCTGCCTGTGAAATTACCAGCTTTGGCTGAAACATTGTCTTCAAAAACTGTCCACTAGGCATTAATCTGGACATGTTGACATGTCTATGTGCTTTCTATTCTTCTCACGTGGGCGTCTTGGCTAGGCCAACATTTATTGCCCCTTCCTAAATGACCTGGAGAAGGTGGTGGTGAGCTGCCTTCTTGAACCGCTGTAGTCCTCGGGGTGTAATGCTAAAAGGAAAGGAGCTCCAGGATTTTGACACCGTTACAATTGGAATATGTAAACAAATGAACATTACAGACCCAATGAGATAACACATTGTGGAGCTGGAGGAACACAGCAGGCCAGGCAGCATCAGAGGAGCAGGAAAGCCGACGTTTCGGGTCGGGACCTTCTTCAGTTCTTACTATCTCTGATTGAGAGACCCAATGAGTTGTTTTCGAAGTAGAATGCGATAAAGCCATGTAGGGGATCAATGAGTACAGTAACGGTACTACTCTCTGTGCGTGTTTTTAGTTCATCCAAGTATATAGAAACGTATTGTACATTCAAGACCATCAAATTGATGTTGTATTCTAGTTTGGAATTCGTAAATAAAGATTTGAAAGAAAATCAATATTATGTGACTGTTTTGCAATTGGAAGGACTATTTTGCCTGTGGGTAGCTATGAGCATTTGACGTCAATTCCCATGCCACAAATTAAGGAAAGGTGTTACTTTGGAGACATTCAGAGAAAGTTCACTAGGATGATCGCTAATATGGAGGGATTGTCTTATGAGCAAGGGTTAAACAAGTTGGGAGTCATCGGAATTTTGAAGAATGAGAGATGTTCTCTTTGAAACACTTAGGATCCTTAAGGCGCTGGACACGGTAAATGCTGAGAGGACGTTTCCTCTCATGGGAGGGTCTAGGACCAAAAAGTATAGTCTCAGAATTATGGGGGCATCAATTTTAGACTAAGATGAGGAGGAATTTCTTCTCTCAGGCGGTTGTGAGTCTTTGGAGCTCCTTGCCACAGAAATCTGGGCGAGGGGGTGGGGGGGTAGTGCGGGGTCTTCGTGTATATTTAAGGCTGAGGTAAATTCTTGATCAGTAGGGGAAGCAAGGGTTATGAGGAAAGGGCAGGAGGCAGGAAAGTGGACGTGAGGGGTATCAGATCAGCCGTGATCCTACGGAACAGCCTATTCTGTTCCTATGTCTTATGGTTTTACGGTCTTAAATACCATTTACACAAAAGGAATAGGTAATTCAAGCCTGACAGTGCTTATGACCCGCACCAGTCTTAACCTATTCTATTTACTTCATCTCACTCTCATTATCTCCTTCCATCGCTTCGTCCCTTGCGTACTATCTAGCTTTCCCTTAAATCTGGTCCAAATTCAAAATGGACATTTGAGACGGATATCGTTCGATCTGATGTGAACATTTTGAGTTAGGAGTTTACATTGTGAAAGCCTCCATGGACCTTACATTCCCAGGGGCGCAAGAAAACATGACACTTTAGCATCAAAACCTGTGACTCTCCGACACAAATAGCCGTTTTGCCACGAAGAGGTTCCATTCATCACCGAGGTACTTACTGTGTTCTGACGGCTACGTGGGCCATCACTCATTCTCTGCAGCTGCAAAACCTTTCAAGATTCCCCAACTGCAAGCTCTCAACAAGGACGTGCAGATCTTTATCTTTTGAAAAATCTTTTACAAATTGTGAGCAGGGGAGAGGGTAATTGCGGTCGACGAGTCGGCGGAAGTATCTGGTGGAAGAAGCGGGTTTGGGGGTGGGGGGGTGAGGAGTTGCATCAAGGGATGTGTCTGTGTGTGTGTGTGAGAGAGAGAGAGCCCCGCTTTACTGGACAAGACGATGCGACCAACCCGAACCTCCTGATTTAAAAACACTTGTGGCTGGTTGAATCAGCTGAACATCGTTTCAAAGCTCTAATTGTTTTCATTGTTTATTGATTGGCATCATAATTTTACTACTCCTTATTTGTTGAGTAGAATTGAATTTCTGCTTGATTCTCATCAACACCGCGTCAGATTGTAACCGTTTAATTCATCACACCGCAGTCCGTTTTGTCAACCCAAAGGAAATGGAAATTACATTAACTCAGTCCGCATGTTTGTAGCTTTACGCGCCTCTGACCTTTAACAGAAGGATTTGTAGTCAGTCTACTCAAATAATATTATGGGTGAATGGACATGTATCACGTGTTGTAGTGACACTAGGTTGTTAATTGCCCCTGTCGTATTAGGTTCAAGGCCCATCCTGCTTATATGTTTTCTCTTGGGCATGCTTCGCTCCTATACGCTGGAATCGCTGTCCTAAATCTTTACTCTCTGACTCTCTCCTCTTTCCATATGGTGTTCCTTAAATCCTAGGACCTTGACCGAGCTTTCAGTCATCTATCCGTATATCTCTTTGTGGCTCTAGTGATGCTCCCGCCCAGCGAGTATTTCTCTCTATTGAAGGCGCTATAGAAATGGAAGCGGTCTTACGCTGCAGCGGTTCGCGTTCCAGCCGCTGAAGCAGAAACTCCGAATTCAAATCCCACCCTAAGTTTGACTGTAAGGAAGGTGTATTCACAATGTGGCCATACTGTAAATCCTTCCAACGTAGGCCAATGGTAGACGGTAAAAGCCGGAGAGATTCATGATCAGAGATAGTAGGAACTGCCGATGCTGGAGAATCTGAGATAACAAGGTGTAGAGCTGGATGAACGCAGCAGGCCAAGCAGCATCAGAGGAGCAGGAAAGCTGACGTTTCGGGTCTGGACCCTTCTTCAGAAAGCTTTCCTGCTCCTATGATGCTGCTTGGCCTGCTGTGTTCATCCAGCTCTACACCTTGTTCTCTGAAATTCATGATCAACCGTGCGATAGAAAGAAATTTGAGCCCATACCAACCACGTAACAGTGTCTATTGCCTGAGCAAGCCAAAATCCTTGGCGGGCTGGGTTTCGATCGATTGGTGCCAACAGCATTGGTGATCGATTCCTATCTGGGCAGATCTCCCTTGGTGGATATAATGACACTGTGGGTCAAATCTGCCTTGAGGCAGCGAACAGGAGGTGTATCAACAGAGCAAGAAAATATCACCGTTGATGTTAAAGTGCATTTCCATGCAGCGTATATGTGTGAAAATTGGAAATCCTGTGTGTTGATGTAGCACCTTTCACGCTATGGGCATGCCAGTTTACTGATAGCGCTGAGTTCATGAACACATTCATCTGCTCGGCGGTGTTGATGAAAAGATATTTGTTGAGCAGGATACGATAAGAAATTCCCTGTACTCTTTCAAATAGTGCCGCGGGATTTATTTTTTACCGCTACAATCCTCCGCAACAGGACAGTGGAAGGGAATCACACACTGTTCTCCAGTTCTATATGCAGTCCTTTGGCTGACTGAGACACAATGAAGTCAGCCCACTAACCAAGAAACAGGATGTTCTGCCCCGAGATCGACTTCCTGCACCCACGTTTCTGACTCAGCTATTCTTCATCCACGCCTTTGTTACATTGACACAAGACTATTCCTCTCCTAACTGACCTCAATCCCAGCACTTCGTATGGACGGCATCCAAACCTCTGCTGAGCATGGACCGAGGCGCCGAGTTCCTTTCACCCATCACCCCAATGTTTGCTGATCACAGTTGGCCTTCCGACCGGCACCTCCTTGATCTTAACTCTCTCGGTCTTGTTTACAAGTCTCTCCAGTGCTTTATCCCTCGTTATTTCCGCAGGCTCCTCCAGCCGATAACACTTCAAAGCCGAGCCATCCCCAATGCGCTTTATCCCAGTATTGGTGGCAATGCCTTCTAATGCCAACTTCGCTTTGAAGTTTCCTCCCTAGACCTCTCTGTCTCTACTCCTATAAACCAGTCCTCTGAATCTCCCTCGTTGACCAAGCCTGTCTCCTTGTGTGGCCGGCTGTCAAATTTTGTTTGTGAGGCATCCTGAGATATTTCTGCGACACTCGAGGCGCAATTCTGAGTGCAGTTTGTTGTACATTTTCTGTGAAGTCATTGAGATAAATATTTCGATTATATTCGAGACGAAGAAGTTGGTTGTGTTCAGTCAATTTTGGCGTTAGTAAAGTCCCCCAGTCCTTTGACCCGATGTGGAAAGGTTAGTAACTAGTTAGTTATTTCTGTTACGTTTTCATTGATAAGACGTGTACAGTTTTGTGTTAACCAATTACAATTGCAGCGTTCTATCTGAGCATTATAAACCCGCCAAATGTATTCCCCCAAAACCAGCTTCCTGTCAGGGTCGCTGCTTTGAACCCATGCAGAAATCATTTCTGAATCCGACTGATCCGGGGCCTCTATACCACGATCGAGACAACCTTGAAGCATTAAAAAGAATACACATTCTACATATTATACTTGACAGTGAATCATCAGGAATATATCTGGTTCAATTGCTGTCAGCTAGTAAATGCGCTTCGTGTTTGACTCCTTCGAAACAGGTATCAAGTGTTTCTGCCTGTGAAATCCTCAGGTGAAGCAAATGTCTTCATTTTGGGTAGTCACTGAGCACCACTTCAACGCTGGGAGCGAGGGCAAAACAACATCTGTGCGCCGTTGCCTTTTGTGTACCTTCTGGGTACTGGATTAAATAATCGCATCTTTTGCACTTACACAGTGTTTGCTTTTACACCCTATTCACTTCTGGTAACTATATTGCTAGTAAAGAATCGAGTCATTCTTTCGAATAAATTGATGACACGTGCCTTCGTTTGGCTCCAAATCGTTTTCTTTTTGCTGCCGTTGATTTTATTGCAATTTTTTTTGCTCTTTGCCAAATTCTATGATCTTTGAGTATTTTCTGTTGTGCTTGGTTGACGTGTATCTAATCTAACGTCCTCTCCGTTGCTGCGTAAAGATATGTGTCCAACGTAATAGGTCACCAAGTAGCCCATCTTCTCATTCCCGCCACCGATCGGCGAAGTTTTTTTGTTTAGTACAATGTGACGTTTGACTTGGAGCTGGTGCATTTGGTCAGCGCCCTTGCTCCCTCAGGTACTGTGTGCTTGGCGGGCTCGTCTCGGGAACTAGCCGACGGTGCTGCGCCTGTTGCATTGGGCTGGGCGGGAAACCTCCCCCGCGATGCACGGGAAAATATCGTTGACCAACGAGGTCATGATGCACGTGGTTTTGGAGGAGATGCCGGGGTTAACCTGCCTCATCACTTTGTAGATTTGGATGGAGTACCGTTCTTTCCTGGACTTTCTCCTGGTCTTGCTGCTTTTTGCTGGCGCCCACTTTCTTAATGCCCCTCAAGGACACTTGTCCTTTCTTTCCCTCCACCGTGGTGCCAGTCAAACTCAAACAGAATGGTTCACAGCACAGGAGGCTCATTATGCCTAGGCCTATGCAACCCATTTAGACCTGGTCCCCCAATCTTTCGCCGTAGCCCTGAATGACCTCTCCCTTTAGGCAATTTAAGTCTTTTAACACGACTCCCCTTGCCAAACTGACATGTCGTCTGCCCTCACCATAGTTTTATTTAACGCATTCAAGATCATAACTTAGAAAAGGACAATCTTAGTCTCCCTCTTATTGGTTATTTTGCAAACGATTTTAAATCTGTTCACTCGTGTCCTTTGGCTACTGATTCTCCTCCTGGACAGAATGGTTTATTCTATTTTGTTTTATAAGAAGTCGTCATTCACCTCCTGGAGCAAGATAATAGGGATCTCGGTTGTGATTCACTTTGCCCACCCTTGTTCCATATTTCTGAATCCGTTTGTCGATCACAGTTTTGATTTCAAACAAAAAATGGGCAGTTTATTTGGAGCGGGAGTGGGGGACAGTCGCTCCTGAATTCATTCCATCCTCTGTATTAAGAAGCGCTCCCCGACTCGCCCCCCTCATTACAGCAAAGGCCATTGCGATGGAAAACAATTTTTAAAAATTGTTACTAAGAGGGACAGGGCATTTTGGATGAAACAAGGAGAAATCTGGACTTGCTCAAAGCCGATGCATTACCGACAGTAAACATGTGTTTAGATCTACATTGTGAACGTGAGAGTATACGCTACCGTTTAAGAAATCATATCTCTTGCAGGCACAGAGGACGAGGACATTGAATGTGGATCCGTGACTTTTGCAGTGGTGGAGTAATTTCCACGCAGACGTTTTCCAGAACAGCCGTTTTAGTTCATGAGAATGTCGTGCCTGGGACGAGTACGGCGTGACCCATGTAATGGGCTCGATTCCGATTTCGCTACCATGAAAGCACCGTGAAACGGACAATAGCACAGATTCTCTGCCTGGAGCACTTTCTGCGCAATTAGCAGATCGACTGTCTCTTCTCTTTTGTAGAGAGGGAGGGAGGGAAGGGAGTTGAGTACTTCGGTTTCTTTTAACAAGAGTTGGTGGTTTCACGCTATGTAAGGGCCAGCAGCATAATTTCGTTTCTGCATACGCGATAATTATGTATATCTTGAGAAAGGTATTCAAATATGGAGAGATATTTACATATTTACTCAGACAAGAGTTCTATATACACATTTACTCATTTACAGGCACATGTATGGGAATCATGCAATTATCATTCAGCCAAAAGTCGTTAACCCTTTAAATACAGAACAATTTCGTTTATTGGACGACGTGTTCTCCTGGTTACGCGCAATAATGTGTTAGGGGGCATCACTGTGGCTATATATTTCTCCGGTGGTTTGATTCATCTCACAATAATGCAATTTTCCGAACACCCATCAGCAGAATCTAGACTGTTTTTGAGAAATACAGGCCGTCATGTCACAACGTTAGCAATTACTGATTTTAAAAAAAATTTCTGGAAGTTTGTGGTTTCTTCCTATGGCACAATATGGACGTTTGGATTGCCATTTGCAAACGATGTCGAAGACATTTACAAACACCTCTCTGTCTTCGCCAAATTCCATCGCTTGGTAAAGTGGGAGGACCTGGGTTGCTGAAACATCCGGGGTCTGTGTCATCAGTCTCCCAGCTTTGAGTGGGCTGGGAGCCTCCCACTTTGACCTGTGAGAGGAAGGTCAGGAACCTGGGAGACTCAATCCTCCAGACCGCTCCTAAACAAAATAAAAACATTAAAGGAAAATACTATAATTAAAAACTAGTAAATGGCGTGTCAACTTTTAACAGTCATTAAAAACACGTCCACGAATGGCACGGATGTGAAATGCAGCAGTTTAAACAACAGTGTCGGTAGCATTTAGTCAAATGTATTCCACGAATGTCACAATTTGAGAAGTCTGGATGGAATATAAAACAAATCGGGCTAAACGCTTCAGTTCACGTGTTTCTTTAAATACGATTGTGTTTCCATAGCACCATACAACCACGTGCAGGAGGATTAACCGGTAAAATTTGCGGAAGATCGGAAAATTGATGGGGTGGCAAAAAGTGAGGAGGATAGCCTTAGACTACAGGACGATATAGACTGGCTGGTCAGATGGGCTGATACATGGACAATTGGAATTCAATCTGGATATGTCTGTAGTGACGCACTTGGACAAGACAGACAAGGCAAAGAATACAGGATGAATAGTAGAACCCCGGAAAGCACTGAGGATCAGAAGGACCAGGGGGTGCATGTCTACCAGTGCCTAAGGTAGCAGGAGGGGTGGTTAGGATACTTGCCTTTATTAGCCAAGGCATAGAGTCTAAGAGCAGGGAGGTTATGCTGAACTGTATAAAACATTGGTTAGGCCACAGCTAGAGGATTGTGTGCAATTCTGGAATCCACATCATAAGAGGGATGTGATTACATTGGAGAAGGTGCAGAGGAGATTTACCAGGATGTTGCCTGGATTTAAAAGATTAGATTGACTGGAGTTGTTTTTTGTTATTCATCCACAGGATGTGGGCATCACTGGCTGGGCCAGCATTTATTGCCCAGAGGAGAGTTAAGAGTCAACTACATTGCTGTGGGTCTGGAGTCATAGGTAGGCCAGAACCATGTAAGGATGACAGATTTCCTTCCCTAAGGGACATTAGTGAACCAGATGGGTTTTTACGACAATCAACAATGGTTTCATGGTCATTATTATTGAATTCAAATTGCACCATCTGCCATGGTGGGACTCAAACCCAGGTCCCCTGAACATCACCTGGGTCTTTTGATTAATTGTTTAGCGAGAATACTACTAGGCCATCACCTACCCTTTGAGCAGAGGAGATTGAGAGGGCCATGATTAAGATGTATAAAATGATGAGGGGCATAGACAGGGTTGACAGAAAGAAATAAAGCAAAGAACAGCTGATGCTATTAATCTGAAAGAAAAACAAGAATTACTGGAAAAACTTAGCAGGTATGGCAGCATCTGGGGAGAGAAAACTGAGTTAATGTTTTGAGTCCAGTGACCCTGCTTCAGAACAAGAATAAACTTTTCCCATTGCTGGACAGATCAGTGACTGGAGACACAGATTTAAGATAGCAGGCAAAAGGTTCAGAGATGAGAGGAAAAAGAAAATCACCCAGAGGTTGGTGAGAATCTAGAACTCACTGCCGGTAATGATTTAGAGGCAGAAACTCTCATAACATTTAAGAAGTATTTCGATGTGCACTAGAAATGCCAAGGCATACAAGGCTATAGGCCAAGTGTTAGAAAATGGGATTAGAATAGTAAGGTGGTTGTTTTTGACTGATGCAGACTTGATGAGCCAAAAGGTCTTTTTCTGTGCTGTTGATCTCTATGTCTTTAACTACAGGCCAGAAATAACTGAATTTGTTCAACTTAAAGTAGCAAAATGTTCCAAGTTCCTTCACAGGGGCAATTATCAAAGAAAATTTTACACCCTGGGATACAAACATATGTGAGCATAGGTAGTCAATTACTTGGTCAAAGACATCAGCTTTATGGCTTGTCTCAAGGCAAGAAGAGAGGTATAGAAAGACAGTGAGGCTTAATGAGAGAGTTCCAAACTATATGGATCAGGCAATTCAAAATGCCTCCCACAAGATTGTAGAGCTGGATAGAATACATAGATGGGAAGGGGGCTGAACCCATGCAGGGATATTTAAAAAAGGATACAGGAGCAAGTATGGGTCAATGTTGATGGGTGAAGGGGATTTTAGTGGTAAAAGGAGGAGAAGGCAAATTAGATTCCAAACAGGTAATATACATATGGAGGCAGGGAGCATGGCTGAGGTATTAAATTATTAATTTGCTTCTTTCTTTACAAAGGAAGAAAATGCTGCCAAAGTTATAATGAAAGCAGAGATACTGAAGCAGCCAAAAATTGTTAAATTACGAATATTGACTGTACTTAAAAATGCCACATCACCAGGACTGAGTCAGATGCTTCTGAGGTGACTGAGGAAGTTGGGGTAAAATCTATAGTGGCACTGATGATAAGCTTCCAGTACTCAGTAAATATTCAGCTGGTGCCAGAGAATGTTCCACCCTTGTTCAAAAAAGGCTGTAAGGATAAACCCTACAATTACAATTACAGTCCAGTCAAATCATTGATGGAGAAGCATTTACAAATGATAATCTGGAACAAAACAAATGGTCAGTTAGTCAAACATGAATTAATTTTTTAAAAAGTTAGTACGGATTTGTTAAGGGCAAATTATGTCTAACTAATTTGAGTTTTTTTTTGGTGAAGTAACAGAGAGGTTTGATGGGGGTAATATGGTTGGCATGGCATGCATGGACTTTCAAGAGGCACTTGATAAAGTGCTATGTAATAGACTTGCCAGCAAAGTTGAATCTGATGGAATAAAAAGGATAGTGGCAGCATGGATACAATGTTAGCTGAGTAACAGAAAACAGATAAGTGGTGTATGGATATTTTTCAGACTAGAGGAAGGTATGTTATGGGATTTTCCAGGCATCAGTATGAAGACCACTTCCTTATTTGACAAATCTTACTGAACTAGATTATGGTCCACACAGCACATTTGCAAAACTTGAAAGTATTGTGGACAGTATTGAGGATAGTGATAAACCTCAAGAAGACACAGACAGGCTGGTGGAATGGGCAGACAGATGGCAGATGAAATGTAATATAGTGAAGTGAGAAATTGTACATTTTTCTAGGAAGAATGTTGAAAGCAATATAAAACAAAGGGTGCAGTTCCAAAGTATTTACAGGAGCAGATGGATCTAAGCATATATATGTATTGAAGGTGGCAGGGCAAGTTGAGAAAGTGGTTAATAAGATACACAGGGTCCTGAGCTTAATAAATGGAGGCATGGAATACAAAGGCATGAAGCTTATGATAAACTGTTATAAAACATTGGTTCAACCTCAACTGGAGTATTGTGTCCAGACTGGACATGACACTTTTGGAAGGATGTGAAGGCATTGAAGAGGTTGCAGGAAAATTTCATGGTTCCCTGAGATGAGAGACCTCAAGTATGTGGATAGATTGATGAAGCTGAAGCTTTTTCCGTTTCTATTACCTCCACTTTATCAATTTTTAACTGCTTCAGTATCTCCGCTTTCACTATGACTTTGACAGCATTTTGTTTTCCTTTGTAAAGAGAGATGCGAAGTAATAATTTAATACCTCAGCCATGCTCTCTGCCTCTATGTGTATATAACCAGTTTGATGTCTAATCTGCCTTCTCCTCCTTTGCCACTAAAACCCACTTCACCTATCAAACTTGTACTCGTTGACACATACTTGCTCCTATTCCTTTTTTTAAACACCCCTCCATGGCTTCAGCCCCTTCCCCATCTTTCAAAGGGATTTTCAAAAGGAAATTAATATATATCTGAAGGGAAAAGATTTGCAGATATAAACAAAAACAGGGAACTACCTGAGCAGCTCTTATAAACAGCCAGCATAGAAATGACAAATTGAATGGCCTCATGAGTTACAATCATCCTATAATGCTAAAGTATAAACTAAGATACAGGTAGCAGTGATTGTATGAACATATGCTTGCTGGGGATGCCAGGTGGGAGGCCAACTCAAAAAATATTGAAATAGTCAATATGATTGTAACAAAAACATTGACGAGGCTTCAACAGCACATGATAGTGGATAGGACCCGAAATGGGTAATGTTATAGAGATGTTATAGCTAGTCTTGATGATGGACAAGATATTGGTTTAACATTCAGCTCAGCGTTAAATAAGAAAGTGGGCAGAGGTTTAAGATGAGAGGGGAAAGATATAAATGGGACCTCAGGGGCAACTTTTTCATGCAGAGGGTGGTGCATGTATGGAATGAGCTGCCAGAGAAAGTGATGGGGGCTGATAAATTAAAACTTTTAAAAGGCATCTGGATGGGTACATGAACAGGAAGAGCTTAGAGGGATATGTGTCAAATGCTGGCAAATGGGACTAGCTTAATTTAGGATATCTGGTCACCATGGACGAGTTGGACCGAAGGGCCTGTTTCTATGCTGTACACTTCTATGACTCTATAATTATCCCTGTGGTCAGGGACAATAACAGGGCCAGTGGCTACAGAACAGAATTATAGTATGGAGCAAAGCCAGTTGTTTCATTTTTCCCATATTTAGTTGGAAAAAAATGTCTGTTTATCCAATACCTAAAGTCAGAAGAGCAGTGCCATAAAACAAAAGTATTGATGGGATGAGTGAGTTGGCTTGGCGTGTGTTTGGATTGTACTGCAGAGTGGCAGAATGGATAAGAAATTCAAGGAGCAAGGAAAGGTTTTTGGGGAAACCAAATGCTATAGATCAAAAAGAGCAATTGTAAGTGATTTTCTGGCAACTTTAAGAGAGATAGCAATGAAATCAGGCAAAGGCAATCCCATAAATCCAGACAAATGAGGAGACTAGTTGGAGGATGATGACATGGTCAGTAATGTCAAAATGTACAGGTAGGTCAAGAAGGGTGAAAAATGACCATTTACTACATCACACTTACACAAACATACATACATACAAACAAATGAATTAGGAGCAGTGGGGCACTTGGTCACTCAAGCCTGCTTTGCCATTCAATAAGATAATGGTTGATCTTACCAGCATATCTGGATAACTTTTCACCCTCTTGTTTATCAAGAATCTATCCACTTCTGCCTTAAATGCATTTTAAAACTCCGCATCCATCGCCTTTCGAGAATCCACTGAGAACAAAACAATTCCTCATCTCTGTCCTAAATGGGTAAGCCCTTACTTATAAACTGCAACCCCTCATTTTAGAGTCTCCCACAAGAAGAGATTTTTTTTTCTGCATCCATCATCTCAGGTTCCCTCAGGATCTTATGCATTTCAATCAACTCATCTTTTACTCTTCTAAACTCTAAAGGATAAAGTCAAACGTTTCTTCATAAAACCCAACCATTCCAATTATATGTTTAGTTCACCTTCCATAAACTGCTTCCAATTTATATTCTTCCTTAAATAGGGTGACCAATACTGTATGCAATACTCAAGAGGTGGTTTCACCAGTGCCGTGTATAATAGAAACTCATAGAAATGCCACTTCAATACCAAGACATCAAATAATTAAAACTAATTAAAATAAAATAACCAGAGGATACATGATGAAAATCTTTTTAGCCGCTGCCTGAGGAGGAGGCGCATTCAATGCCGACTACAAAGGAACCTTAAGAGAAGAAAAACTGTTCTGCAGGAGCAAAGCAAAGAGTGACTAACTGAGTTGCTCTTGCACAGAGCCAGTATCACCTCAATGAGACGAATGGCCTCCTCCTGTGCTGTAACGATTCTATGATTTTAGGAGTAGTATGTCCCGCACGAATGATGTGATTGAACGCGATTAACTTTTTAAAATATGTCTTTAATTGTATGAGCAATAAATTCATCAAGTTCTCCTGCTTGTCGATATATAAGTACTTTAAAAACTGTCCATCAATATTCCTAAAGAGGAGTCTCTTTTTTGTGCATGAATGAAAGGATAGTTTTCCATCTTAAATACACCATTCGGATTCAGAATCTTCTCACTTGTACAGTAAATACCCGGTTTCCGTCGCCACGCGCTGCGGAGACATGGCTGGGAAAGAACGAAGTGTTTAAGGGTTGCTGAGGACTGGGGTTTGGAAGAGAGATTACATTGCTATCCGCCATGATCTAAGAAGACGAGCAAAGCAGTAGAAATGAGATAAATTTACTCATTTGCTGTCCCTATGCGAAAATTGTACATGAAAGAAAACATTCCTTTAAAAGTCTGCTTTAATTGATTCATTCCCTGATACAATTAGAGACAAACCGAAATATAATTGATTTCTAAAAGCAGGCTCCAAGACACTCAGAGGTTATGATGTAATGAACACTTAGAGTAGCTGCGACAAGAAGCATTCGGTTTTAAATGGAATACTAAAGTCACATGCGTGTTGGACACGTTTCAGAACGGGTGTCAAATGTGCTTATCTGCTTCCTTCAGTTCTGTGCTGGATGTTTGTCGACTGCAATAATAATAGGGACAGTGTTGCAAAACTTCAAACGGCATTAATTAATGCAGAATTTGAAAATACTGTTGCTTTTATGTAAGGATTTATAACTTTTAACTTATTATGCTTTTACAAATGGGATACTACCTACAAAGTCGAACAGTCTTATCATGAAACTCGAATCGATAGTCGGTATTTTACTGCAAATGTACTCTGCAAACAATATTCATTAATTCAAGAACTCCCACTTTCATGATAAGGCATCATTCCAATCTGCTTTTTTGTCAGCCTAGCTTGAGACAGCGATTTTACATCCGTCAACCTTAACTTGGAAAAAAAAGATTGCAACTTCTTTGTAACCTAAAACTAAATAAGAATTACTCCGAGAACTAAAACCCGCAGCTTTCTTTACCTCTAACAGAAATCTAACCATAGCCCTAAACAACAGCGGATTCTAACAATAAACAAAATGTAACACTAAACCTAAAGACTTCGGCCTCTCCTAAGCCTAAACCTAAATAAGAACTAATCATAAATCTAAACAAGACCTAATCATAAACATAACCAAACCTAACCCCAAACTTTAGGATGGCAACGTCTCCAAACCGAAATCTAAATAAAACCTAAAGGTAAACGTTCATTGTTGTAAACCAAAACAACTCTTAACCATAAACCGAAACCCACACCTCCTCCCAACACAAGGCCTAAAGAATAAATAAAAAAAAACTATACAAGAACTTTTACAAAATTAAAAGTGTCTAACTCCATACCTAAACAAACCTGAGTTCTAAATGTAGAGATGACAGTTTGATCTAATCGTAAATTTCAACAAACCTGTAGATATCCCAACCCTAACTTTACACCAACCCAAAACAAGCCACAACTTCAACTAACCTGAACGAGTAATAACTTGGACCTAGACAAGCCGGTAGCATCAACTAACATGAAGGAGATATGACCATCACCTAAACAAACCACAACTTCACCTAATCTGAACAAGAAATATTCCTAACTTAAACAAGCCACAACTTCAACTAACCTGAACAAAGTATAACCCTAACCTAAACAAACCGGTAGCTTCAACTGACCTGAACAACGAATAACCTGGACCTAAATTTAAAAGAAAAACCTTGACCTAAACAAGATCACAGATTCCTCTCGCAGTCGACATGTGCTAATTCTGATAGTCAACAGTGTGTCCTTCGACAATCTATGGAAAAAGATGCAAAAACCAAATTAGCTACTGCCAGTTCCAAAATAATTCAAGTTTACCCTAACGCTTGCTTTAAACAATGCCGCAGGAAAGCCTCGCTATTTTGTTTGCGCTGCTAACTTTACTTAATTCTATTTTTTTTAAAAACACGAGACTATTTTTTAGCTCCAGGTGCTGTACTGCTGAAACCTGTATTATTTTGCTAGGTCGTGGTCTTTAAAATGCATCAATGCAGACATTATGCCGCTCAAGATTCCAGATGAAACATGCAAAGGGCGATTTTGGTGCCTGAAATTTAGAATTATTTTTTGTTAGAAGACATTGGCTTCATACTATGTACTTTGAAATTTGCCAACGTTAGTAGGCTCGCTACTCCACTGCAACAAAATCGGCCTACTCTTTCTGTTACCTTTAACAGTCCCTAAATAAGGTTAACGTTTTTGCATCTCTTACCCCTAAATAAGCAGTTTTGGCCATTTTTTTAAAGTGCGAAGGGCAACTGCAAATCAGCAGTTGTGACAATATCTACACATATATCATTAAAATGTAATTGTTTTGCTCAACCTCTGGCGTGGACGGCATCACTGATTTTCGGGCCTTTTTTGAGACATGAAGTCGCGCACTCCTTACAATTCGATTCCTTTATTCCACAGAATTCACTCGAGTGCAACCAAGGACACAGCTCGAGCGTTGGATAGTGGTCGCCATCTTTTACTTGTGGACTGTTACAATGACTGAAAAGCTATTCACATGTGCTTCTCCTGTTATTTTGGTGAAAACGTTTCTCCAAAAATTTCTTCCGTCCCTTTGGAATCTCGCAAGTCCCGTAAAAAAATGAGCAGGGATCCCGTCTACTCAAAAAGCCTATTTCACGTATTCAGATAAGAGTTTACGCCACCCTTTTCCCACCGATCCGTGTGTAGAGTCTGCCTCACAGTCTGGCCGATGCCACTCAAGGTCTGACCTGTAACTTTGACCCTCTTAGGTCAAATAAATCTTTCTCAAGAGGTACCGTAATGCTCATTTAACAACATATCTTTCCCGCACGGTTGTAGTTTATGTCTTGTTAAAACTTTTATTGCAATCATCTTGGACTGGGAGGCGTGTTTCCTAATTATATTTTAAGAATTCTGTTGTTGGAAAATGGATCCCGCTCGTCTTTTGCGTGCCGAAAGCGGGAATGCCTTGTCCGCTTTGCCGTGATGTTACCCACTCCCCTACCCTCCCCTCCTCCCCCGCCCGACTGTCCCCAGAGCATTCACTGTTTGTTAGGGTTAGGACTGTTTCGCTCAAAAGGTTTTAATATTCGTGTGAAAGACCCTCCTCCCCACCCCCATACTGAGTTGTGAGGGGAACGTACTGACTCTTTTGTTGTGGTTTGTGTTGGGGGTTGGGAGCTTTCGGCGAGGAGTTTGGTTTTGCCTGTTAGAGGTGGGGGTTGGGTTCATAATACTGACTGAAACAAATGTATCCTTATAAATCGAAGACAACAACTACTGGTACGGGTGTAGTGTCTTAAGAAATACGAAGGATGTTTCTTTCCCTTGGCTGGCCAGCAAAAGACGACTGTAAAAATGAGCTGCTGTTTCAATTTCTAAAGCAGTTTTGTCGCATTCACTTGCTACAGTCCACTGAAACCCTGGCGGCCTCCGTAGCGCTAACTTTATTGTGAAGCTTTGTGAATAGCCCCATATCCCGTTGCAGTGCACAGACCACACGTTGTTGAGACGGCATTACCTCTTTCTGGTCCAGACTATACAACCTCCCCGCCCCCACCTCCTCCTCCGCCCGTCTAATCACGGACTTCCTGGGAAAATCAGGCAGCCGTTCATCCTGAAGTGAGTGTTTAAATTACAGGATTTGAAGAGCTCCGGATGGGAAAGTAACCCCCGAATGCCTCTAACTAAACTCAGGTCTTGGATCTTAACCTCGCGGCCTCACATCTGTTTCGAGGGAAAAAGGGCGTTCGGACTCAAACGGAAGGTAGATTATGAGTGGGACATGGCGGGCATTTCTTTTCTGGGGGAGAAAAGCTTTTCCTGAAATATTGTTTGTAAGCTCACATTTTGTATCTTCTGGTTAAGAATCCCAGCTCTGATTTTTAAAATGTTCCCATTTCAAACAATTCTCTATGCCACAAGAGTTAAAGACCACCACTCAGACAATATAGAGAGATGCGTGGCATGTTTATTTCGAAATTGACAAGAATAAAGTGAAAATTAACATTTTTACTGACTTTTTTTGTCCCCCCTCACATACATAAAAACATAGACAGTGCTTTCGTGTTGGGATTTTGGAACTTTTTTTTGCTAGCTCGTAATTCTTAGTGTTTGGAATAATGTTTTGGATGTTTTAGTCACGTTTGGTGCGTGGACACGTCTAGTGTACGTAAACTAGTTTTTAGTAGATTGGCGCTCTTGCTCCTTCCCCCGTTCTCCTTTGCAGTAAAACAGGGACTCGGTGATTAGGGTTCAGTTCCAGCTGATTTTATTTCCTTCTCTCTCAGAAAAAAAAGACTATTTACAAGAGTATATCAACAATCTGACAGGCAGTGACTTGACACGATTAGCTGGCATGACCTTTTAAAAAAATTGTTGAGGCATGATCATCTGACAGACTATACACAGTATATTGCACAGGATGGATGAAAAATTAAAAATAATTAAAATAAAAGATTTTTTAAGAACCCCTAACAATCGGGCAGCTACCAAGATTTTTGTTTTCGCGGTTGCTACCTTAGTGCCTGTCACGGTAGTTTGGACACATAGAAGAAACACACAGTCCTTGTGTTTTATATAATACAGATTTAAATGTACAAAGGTGTTCTCACTTCTCTTGCAAACCCCTCCCCCATCAAAAAAGACACAACAGCTAAACCTGATTTCGGAATTATATATGCTAGCTTCATGCCAAAACAATATATTCAGCCGACAAGTTAATAATAATTATCATTATTACAGCATGAGAAACGCAGCATAGTGTCGCGGACTCAAATCAACATCTTATATCCAGTAGTTGAGCGCAATTTAAGGAGCGCCACATAATTGGTGCGAAGTTGCAGCATCCTTTTTGTTTGTGTTGGTGCTGAATTTCAGAAGCATCGTAACAATTACAAAATCACGGTTCACCTACTCCCCTTAACATTTTACTAATATTTATATATACGTGGAAGATGACTGCAGCCATTACAAATTTTAAAAGGAATGGTCATCAGTTTCTGGGTAAAAGCGTTCAAATGGGTTTCCATTTTAAATACTATCAAGTTGGCATTCTTTTTTTAAAAAGGCTACAGTGGGCGGGAAGGGACAGTGTAGGTTTTAACATCAAATACAGTCCCAACATGAAGGTAACCGCAGCCTACAAAACCTGCACATTGAAGTGTAAACATGTGGAATTAAAAAAAAGAGGCATCGCTGTGGCATCGACCTCTTTGTTCATAATCAGGAAATCCAAACAGCAATAAACACCGATTAACACCCCCTTTATATTTTTTACAAAAATACACTGAGAAAATAATCAAACGTCTCATCTTTCTCTGTCTTTTGTTTTAAAAGTGTCAAAGTCTACATTTAAATATAAAATTAAAAGTTTAACTCTAGCCCTTCAGTGAAGGAGATAAAACGGTGCAGGTAATTAACAGGCCTACGAAAAAAAGTCAAAATGTTTGGCCAGTATAAATACATCCATATAAAATGGTTTCTGGTTGCATTTACAAGGGAAACAAAACAATACGAGGATGAAACATCGGTGACAAGAAGTTCATGTTTGTTGTAAATTGTTGTGGAACATGGAACTTTTAAGGAATTTTGGTCCAGAAAATACAGTCCAGCGCAGATTGGAGTAGGGTTAAGTGATAAGGGGTAAAAGAGCTGGTGACTTGGTTGGAATCATACAGAGCGCCATCTATCTGATTTGATTCGCCCTAACGCTAGTAAGTGTTCAAGTCTGTACAGAATCTGGAACGATACAGCACAACATGGTATGAACCCAGCGAAATGCAGTAATCCAACGCCACCATTCTTCTCATGAAACACTCTCTTCGCATGTAGATCTCCCGACTTTGCGTGTTTGTCTGTACCAATATAATTTGATTTTGGCGATTTCATTTCACCGCCAGAGCTTTAAACCTGCTGCCTTAATGCGAAGCCCGCGTTCCCTCCCGTACGTGCAAATCAATTTCAGGTTTTCCTTTTCAGTCCAGAGTCGAGACTGGGCATTTTATTTTCAATGGAATCTCAATCGCTCCTAAAACACGTCGGCACATTTTCTTACATTTTGCTGAAGACTTGCGATCAAACGTTAGAATCACGCAGTTTTACAGCACTTGGATCACAATTATGTTATTTCACGATCCCTTTTTCTCCCCCTCCAAGATAAAACAGCAACAGTTCGCTTCTTTCACTTGTCGCTTTCTAATACGTGAACACTAGGTTTGAAATACTCGACTCCAGCCAGTCGCCTGAAATCATTTCGCTCACCTCTGGCGTGCAGTAGTCTGGGAACTCAAAGTGAGACGCGGACTCCTGCTCAAAATTAAACTCCAAATCTCGATCCAGGGACGAACTCAAGTTGCCCAGCGTCATGCTCTCGAAAGTGGGGCTGGAACTAAGGTCCATGAGATCGTCCTCAAATTCTTCGTCGGAAGACGAGGCCATAGACGACGAAGAGCTGGAGTGGGAGGTGGAGGGGGTCGGCGAGATGGATCGCAAATTGCCAGGGTGCTTGCGTTGGTCTTTGGGTGAATCTGGGACCCGCACCCTGCTCCCACTTACCAGATCTTCATAGAAACTGACCGGGTCGCTGGGCTCGGCTGAAGAACTGAGGGTCGGGCTGGCAGGCACGGCGGCTGGAGAGGTAGTGCCCTGGCCCCTGAACGACCGCCTCTCTTTCAGTTTCTTATCTACAAGGTGCTTGGAAGCGGGGCTCGTCCGCGCTTTGTAAACCGAATGTTGGTTGGTAGTGTTTATGCTAGTAGTGCCTGACTGCGGATGCTGGTGAATGATCGGAGACTTGCTGAGCGCACCCAGGATGATCTTGTGCGTTTTGCTGGGTTTGCTAATGCTACTATTGCTGCAACTGCTCTTTTTAGCTGAGGGTTTAGTGTTGATCTTTTCGCCTTTCTCTCCGGGTTTGCTGCTGGCACTTTTTGCCTTCTTTCTCGGTCTGTATTTATAATCTGGATAGTCCGCCATGTGCTTGAGTCGCAATCTTTCGGCTTCACGGATGAAAGGGATCTTATCACTGTCTTTCAGTAACTTCCAACGCTTCCCCAAGCGCTTCGAGATCTCAGCGTTGTGCATGTCCGGCGACTGCTCCATGATTTTTCTCCTCTCGATCTGCGACCAGACCATAAACGCGTTCATGGGTCTTTTGATGTGACCACTGGCGGTCTTACACCAGCTCGGCTCGTCCGTCTTCTCTCCATCCGATGCCACCGAGTCCGCCGCGGGTGAACAAGCAATGCCCAGATCTGAAGAACCGGAGTCGGTCGACTCTCCGGCAAGCACTGCTTCCGTGTTCTCTGCGTTGTTCGTTTGCTGCACCATGCTTTCTCTTGTTTTTTGTTTATATATATTGAGGGCACTGAGGGGTAAAGAAAAAGGCTTTTTATACTGTAGCAGTTTGGTTGGCTTGTACTTTTTTTTCCCCCTGTTATCACAGAGGCTGCTGTGCTTTGAAAAGAAGCTGCTCCTCGCGTTCGCAGAGAAGAACCTAGTTTCTTGTATAAAATGTGTATATACTTTGGCACAACCTTCCTCCCCCTCTGACCATGCGGGAAGACTGTGTTATATAAAAAACTTGTGTCTGCTGCTTAAACCAGACTCGAACTCGCTTCCCCTTCTTATCCAGTCCTAGGCATTGTGACGTCCAGTTAAAGGTGTCCCGGTCCCAGCCAATCAGAGGCCGTCACTCACTCGGATCGCGTCTGTTTCCAACGCTTCCAGCGGCCTACCCCGCCCCCGCGCCCCCTCATTGGCTACTGCCTCCTCGGCGCGTGCAATGAGAAACGCCGTGGCTGACCTCATTCGAGTTTACACTAACAACTTAAAGGGGGCATGGCTGCAAAATGCACTACCCCCCACTCCTCCTTCAGTCTTCCCTCCCTCTCTCCTTCCCCGCTGGCATTACATTAAAGCTGCATTATGCCTTTTTCCTCTCCCCCAGACTGGCATTTGTCCGTCCCACCGACTCAGGCACGAATCAACCACAAGCTGGATTCCTTTCTTTGTGAGTGTTATATTTTAACACGCACACACAGAGTTTTCTATCTGGATGTCTCTCTGTCTCTCTTTCTCGCACATTTATACACACCCTAGTCGGCTGATGTTAAGTTTCAGGCAATTGACACGGAACTGTGTGTCTGAATCGCTACGCTGCAATTTCGCGTGAGCAAATGCCAGACACTGAAACCGATTTACAAAACACTGGGGAGACTTGCCATTATCTCTCAATTGCCTGCGTGTATTTCTCCCACTTTGATTATGAACGACTGCGAGCCCGTTCATTCACACTTTTACAAGACTCATTTCTGCAGTCCAGTGTTATAAGGTATGAAACATCCTGAATGCGTTGGCTCAGACATCAGTGGATTGATCCATCTCCGCCGTTCCGGAGAAGTGGAGTAACGCTGGCAGTAACATAAGAAGCACATCATGTGGGTTGGGCATGGTAGAAGGGGCTGGTCAAATACATTCGGCGACGACCACCTTTTACCGGATTGACAGTTTTAAGACTAACACCCAAGGTACTCACGGCGTGAATATATATTCGGTTAAAACGAAAGATGGAAAGACACGAGACTGACTTTTTTTATCGAAAATAATAAACATGCCAATATTTTTTCTCGTAAAAATATGTTTATGTCACCCGATAAACGAACCAATTTACATTCAGATTCTGATCCACACAGAAGTCTTTGTGTTATCCACATACGTAACTTACTATAGAAGTTGCATATGCCTAGCTGAATTAACTTAAGATTTCAACTTGTTTGTATATAAGCACAGACACGTAAAAATAGAACCGAGAATGTGATACATTGAGATTCAACATGTCTTTTAACACTTAAATTGGGTTGACTCCAATATACGACGCTAGGTGGCGGCACTGTGTCTATATAGTCGTCTGGCGGCCGTGGTGATTTCGATCCTGTTTCGGTTGGGGGAGGGAAATAAGGTGAGCGAACGATCCTTTTTGTCTTGTCTTGTGAAACCTAAAAGACGAAAAGAAGCTGCTTCTGGATTTTCTCAATTTACTTTTGCTTGCCAGCGACCCCTCCTTTCATAGTCACTATGGCTTATAATTTATGTGGCATTCTGTGTTAACCAGGTTTGATTAGAGCTGCGTTGTTGACTCTGTAGCCTTATTTTAAAAAAGATGAGACGGGCACGTGCACGTGTAACTCAATGGGTTTTCTAAAATTATTCTCGACACTCGCGATGATTATACCTAACAGAAGAAGGCTACGTTTTCCCAGTAGTATCCAAAAAGCAAAGCTACTTATCTAAACATCGCACCTCAAACAAGAGCCTGGTTCCTGCTATGTCAGTCTTGACTGTAAAACAAGTTGGTCCGTGCCCAACTTGCCAAAGCTATAAGGGAGAGATAGTAGGAACTGCCGATGAATCCCCTTCCCCTCCCCCATTTCTGAAGAAGGGTCTAGACCCGAAACGTCAGCTTTCCTGCTCCTCTGATGCTGCTTGGCCTGCTGTGTTCATCCAGCTCTACACCTTGTTATCTCATTATCAAAGCTATAAGGGAGCTGTTTGCTAATATTATCATCAAGAAGATCTAATGATCTAATGCAGCCAAATACAGCACTTTTGAAATATAACAGGTGCACTTGGTTTGGGGTTCAATCTGAAGTGGTAGGGGTGTGTGAAAAATCCATGCTCTGATCTGAACGGACTCATCTTCAAATATGTTATATTAGTTACACCGTAAACATGTTTCACTGCAATGTGGTCAGTGACTATTAGAAAGTGTTGAATGATGTCTTCAATGGATCAGCACTCAGCAGTTAAAACAGCATGGAAGGGGTTAACGTCTCGTCCGAGCCCCACAGGTTGAAAAAACGAGCAGAACCTCTTCAACGCTTTTTGTTGAATGGGATCTAATCGCAGCAAATGTAGTCGACAATATTAATCAGAGGCGTGTAGATCAAACAGGGAGGTGAAGATTGTGTCCGGTGAAAGAAGCAGATATTGACTCCGAAAATATCGGCACAGTTGTCGGAGATTGGAAGGGATATTTGTTAAAATTGAAGTGCATTCCGCTTGTGATCAGGCGTGTTCGTTTTAACACTAACATTTAATTATTAACCTTAAAGGTTATGGCAGAGAATATCGGAGCGGAGGAGTAGTAGAATGTGATTACTCTGCCATCACAACTGTGATTAAAAAGGGCTGGGTAGGAAAGACTGACATTTGTAGAAGACCGTTATCAAAATGTCCCAAAGCCTTTTTTGAGTGGTACACACTGTTTCAACATTGGAAATGTGATAGCCAATTTGCGCACAGTAAGACTCCACTAATCCACAATGTGAGGACGACTTGACAACTGTTTGTTTTTAAAACCGCCTTAGATTTACGCAGTACACTTCACAATCTGGGGATATCCCAAAGAGTTTTACCACCAAAGAAGCACTTTTTGAAGTGTTGTAGGATGGACGGTCAGCTCACACCAACATCAGACGATAATGACCAGGTAATCTGAAGAATGAAGATTGCCCAGGCCATTATAGGAGAAATTCCTCTCTGTTCTTCAAATGTATCCTCAGCACCTTTGATGTAGACAGCTTGAATTTAAGATTAGTCTAAAACACTGCTCCTCTGACAGTACAGCACTCATTTAGTATTACACTGGAGAATCAGCCTAGGTGGATTCTGCAATGGGATTTTTCTTTCTTATTCTTTCATGGGACATGGCCATCATTGGCAAGGTCAACATTTGCATACTGCCCCTACTTGCCTTTAAGCTGAATGGCTTGCTAGGCCATAGCAGAGAACAGTTAAGAGTCAACCACATTACTGTGGGTCTGCAGTCACATGTAAGTCAGGCTGAGTAAAGATGACAGATTTCAGCTCATAAAGAGCATTGGTGAATCAGATTTGGTTAAGGGTCTGTGTCCGTACCTTATGACTCTATGACTCTATAATTGTTGTCATTGGTATCCAGTACAGAAATGGCTTTATATTCCAGATTTATTAATTGGATTTAAATTCCAATGGTAACTGTGTCGGATTTGAATCCATGGCCCCAAACTATTGGATTACTCGTTCATATTAGCATTGTGTCACCATCTCCCCAGCATGATGGTGATCTTGAGAGGTATTGCTGTAAAAACTCATCTGGGTCACTAATGTCCAGTAAGGAAGGAATTTGCTGTCCTTGCCTTCCCTGGCCTACATGTGATTCCACACCCATACATATAGATTTTAGTAAGACTTTTGACAAGGTCCCTCATGATAGGCTTATCCAGAAGATTAAGATGCGTGGGATCTATGATGCCTTGGCCACGTGGATTCAGAATTGGCTTGCCCATGGAAAGCAGAGGGTAGTGGTAGAAGGGTGTTTTTCAGGCTGGAGGTTCGTAACTATTGGTTTTCCACAGGGATCTGTACTGGGACCTCTGCTGTTTGTGATATATATAAATGACTTGAATGAAAATGTAGATGGGTGGGTTAGTAAGTTTGCAGATGACACAAAGATTGGTGAAGTTGTGGATAGAGTAGAAGGTTATCAAAGGATGCAGCGGGATACAGATCAGTTGCAGATATGGGTGGAGAAATGGCAGTTGGAGTTTAATCCAGGTAATTGTGGGGTGCTGCACTTTGGGAGATCAAATGTTAAGGAAAAGTATACAAATAATGGCAGGACCGAACAACATTGATGTACAGAGGGATCTTGGGGTTCAAGTCCATAGTTCCCTGAAAGTGGCCACACGTTGATAGGGTGGTAGAAAAAAAGGTATATGGCATGCTTGCCTTTATTCGTCGAGTTGAGTATGACAGGATGTCATATTGCAACTTTGTAAGACTTTGGTTAGGCCACACTTAGAATATGTGTACAATTCTGGTTGGCACATTATGGGAAGGATGTGGAGGCTTTGGAGAGGGTGCATAAGAGGTTTACCAGGATGCTGCCTGGATTAGAGGTTATGAGCTATAGGGAGAGGCAAGAAAAACTCAGGTTGTTTTCTATGGAGCGGCAGAGGTTGAGGGGAGACTTGATAGAAATCAGTAAAATTATGAGATACATAGATAGAGTTGACAATCAGAATCTTTTTCCCAGAGTTGAAATATCTAAAACTAGGGGTCATTCATTTAAGGTGAGAGGGAGAAAGTTCAAAGAAGATGTGAGAGGCAAGTTTTTTTACACAGAGTACTAGGAGTCTGGAACATGCTGCCAGGAGTGGTGGTGGAGGCAGATACAATAGGGGCATTTAGAGATTTTTAGATAAGCATACGATTATTCAATGAATGGAGGGCTATGGACCAAGGGCAGGCAGGAGGGATTAGTTTAATTTGGTGTCATGTTTGGCGCAACATCTTGGGCCAAAGGGCCCGTTCCTATGCTGCATTGTTCTATGTTGTAAATGAGATTGACATTTAAATGCCCTCTGAAAAGTCCTAGTGAGCCACTCAGATTAAGGTGAATTGTACACCCACAGTAAATGCTGGCATTACTAGTAATGTCCATGTCCCATGAAAGAATAAAAAGGTATGGCACAGTATGTCACCAGGATCACAATCAATAGCATAATTTAAAACTATTAAAAGTCTCTATCCAAATTTGAACCACTGTCCTGCTGATTATATACTTGCAGCATATGTTATATTGAG